CAGACGACATTGAATGAACAACGCGATATTTGTTAATTTGATGCATCTTTTAAAGGAGTGAGTGAAGCTAAAAGACGAATGAATGCTTGGATAGTGAAATCGAATGATTCTTTTTGATTGTCGAATGACGATCCATTACGGACACACTCTCGCAAAATGTGGTCCAGCAGCTTTCTATACAAAAACCTCGTTGGCTCGGGGTTTTGTACGTAAACCTTATCAGTCAGCCGATCACGCTCAATTGCAGAGTTGTAACGAGTCACTGCTTTTTGTGACTCGAGTCGAGTCGAGTCGAGTCGAGTCATTAGGTCAAGACGGTCGAGTCGAGTCGAGTCGAGTCACAGTGTATGGTCGAGTCGAGTCGAGTCGAGTCGAGTCAAATATTTAGCTCGAGTCAATTCGAGTCACAAATATTTGAGCACTATACAATGAATAAACACATGAGAGAAAGTCATTTTTTGGCTTTTTAAATTTTACATTCGGGCTACTACATGTGTAGACACCACATTTGCCTCTTAATAAAAAAAAAGGGGGTGCCAGCTGATCGCCATTCAACTAATGGGGACACTGATCAAACCTCGTATGTGTATGTATACATTATTCGCGAACATTCTAACGTGACGTGAACAAAAACCGGCACCGGCGTAAGTCATTGCACATATTTTTTTCCAAAGTTTTGCTTTTATTTTTGGGACTCGAGTCTCATTAGCCTTCCTCGAGTCGAGTCGAGTCATTCTGATAAGGGACTCGAGTCGAGTCGAGTCATTTGCTCGCAGTGACTCGAGTCGAGTCGAGTCATTTGCTCGCAGTGACTCGAGTCGAGTCGAGTCATTTGCCCTTAGGGACTCGAGTCAAGTCGAGTCACCAAAAATTGAGACTCGAGTCGGACTCGAGTCGAGTCATTGACTGGAGTCATTACAACTCTGCTCAATTGACTTCGGCCAAACCGCAGTCCCATCATAAGAAATAAGTTAACAATGTTATCCGGACCATTTTTTCCGAGAGTGTGTCTGTAATGGTTGATGGGCTTTTAAAACGAACTTTTGCAAATGGGAAAGACACTTTGGAAAAATCCAATCAGTTTGAATATGCTTCATGAATTTCTGAATAAACGAGCACATTTTTAAAGGGAATATACATCATTTGCTTTTGCTGTAATTTTCAGATATGGATGGAATTGGGGGGTTGGAAATATAAAGCAAATATAGTTACACTGACTTTTTGGAGGTTTTGGGTTTGAAAATGCTACTAAAACCAAGAAAAACGATCATTTTCCTGTAGTCTGGTTCCCTGACTCCATATAAGAAGAAACAGAGCAGTTAACATACATTGGGGAATTGTAAGGTCAGGGAACCAGTCTAGCTGGCTCGTAACCGTTCATGGGTTTGTAATCGATTGCAAACAAGTGCAATGGTCAATTGGGGCCAGTATTTGAAAAAAAGCCAGTTGTTTCCAACGCTGATCGGCCGATCAGCGTTGGAAATTGATGCAAAAATACCACTTTTCTTGAAAATGACAGTATACCAGGTGCCATAATTTTACAGGATGCTTTAGACTGTCATTTACCAACATCCTATTAAGGTATTTCGCAAAAACTTGGTAGTTTTATTTTTCGATGTTTGCAAATGTTGTATATTCCCTTTAACAGTATTTAATTACTATTATTTTTTGGCTGTGGTGGGGGGGGGGGGGAGTGGCTAGCTGGTGGGGGGGGGGGGGTGCCAGACAGAAGATATATCAGAATGGCGCAGTAAGACCGACAGCGGGCGCAATAATTTTGATTAGGGTTTCAAAAATTTCTACGCGTCCGAGTCGTTAATTTGCATAAAAAGTGCCCCCACAATTTTTTGTAAAAAACGAGACCGTCTAGTTTAAAAATCGGTGGAATCGTGCGAATATAGCCGAGGATCATCTCCCTAGCTTTTGGGCTATTATCTAAGAGCAGATTTGATAAAATTAGGGTCCAAAAATGGGTCCTATTTGCAGGAGAAAATGTAGGCATGCCACTGGTAACTTTGGCAGTATGCAGGCTCAGCATTACCGGCAGGCTTCAAGCATTACGGACACACTCTCGCAAAATGTGGTCCAGCAGCTTTCTATACAAAAACCTCGTTGGCTCGGGGTTTTGTACGTAAACCTTATCAGTCAGCCGATCACGCTCAATTGACTTCGGCCAAACCGCAGTCCCATCATAAGAAATAAGTTAACAATGTTATCCGGACCATTTTTTCCGAGAGTGTGTCTGTAATGTCTGCGTCAGGTGATCTTTCAATTTCAATCGATGTTAAATTAAATAAAAACTTGGTGAAATTGGCCGGGAAAACCCATATTACTATTTGCCTACATGTATAGAAAATTGAGGCTCGAGCGGAAACTAGTATTGAGAACATGTTTGCAGATTAATGAGGGCTTCAACCGATGGATCAGGCTGTGTCACAAGAGGCAATCTACTTAGCGAATTTATCCGGAATTCAGGCGTAATATTAATTGTGTTCCTCATTTGTAATTGTATTGCAATCTGACCGTCCTTTGTAGCTAATGGATTGTTTTCAAAGTTGAAGAATGGTCACGTGAATGATCAATATACAATTTACAATCGATACAATTTTCGTTGGCAGTGTTACTCAGCCGTGTGGTTGCGAAGGCCGATTTCTAAAGGTTACGTATATATGTAATACTTTATTTTGAATGAAGAAAAAAAAACATGCACACATGCGGACATGTACACGTTGGCGGGCGAAATCTTTGAAAATTATTTTCTCCCTTTGGAGGCCGTATCTTCATGCAACTCTCAGGGTTTGTTTCCTTTATAATGATCCAACTGTGTCCTAAAAATCGTTTTGATATGTATGTTCAGTACTTTTCGTTGGAATTTGAATAATAGGCCTGGCTACGTGCATTTTAAAAGTTGTAACACGCGTGTTTGCAATATCAGTCAATCTTTTTAAGCCTTACGAATACGAACATTAATAAGGTTCCTATCCATTATGGTGTTCATTACAAATTTGCAGAATAGCCTCCTTCACGAATTATTATTAAATAATTATCACCCTTTTTTCCGGCTTCTATTGGTCGATACAGAGACCAACGCGAAGTCACACCGAGTGACGCTAATGAATATGCCAATATATGCGCTTCGTCATTGTTGCCCCAAAAATCAGCCAACCTGAAAACCATGCACGTGAGATAATTTGGTAGGCAAAAAAATCCTTGTCTAAATTTACCTTGGGGATAGTTCAAGGTGTAACACAAGCGTTTGCAACAACATAATTATTAAGCTGGAATTCGGAACAAACTTAGATGATATAAGTGTTCAACTACTCGTGAAACAACAACTTGAGGGGATTCCTAGAAATTGAGATAAATACATGATTTTGGAACGTTTTCAAACGATTTCTTCTCGACTTTAAGGTCAACTTTACCAGTAACCAGAATTGAAGTTTCGGCATCGATGACGGCGATTTATTTTTCACTGACATGAAGTTTAGAATGGCTTCTTCATTTATAATTTTACATTTCAATCATACTGAGCATAATAGAGAAACACAACGTTCAAAAGGCCAATTTGGGGGGTGCATAAATTTTACTGCTCTGTTATAGCGTCCAAGCACGTAATCGGCCGGATTAACTTTGTTCAACAACAGGGACGCTTGGGTCTTCGCAACCACACGGGTGACACGGTTGTTATTACTGTGTCTCCTATTATGCCAAACGAAACCTGCCCGCCTTCGTTTTTCAAGGGCTCCAGCCACCATCTCGAGGACCCAAGATGAGTATTCAGCATATATATTCTACCTTTGGCAACTGGAGCGATTGAAGAAAAGGAAGGAGCTAGCGGTCTGGGTGGAGCCTGGTGCGTTATGCCCCAAACCCATGCACGACTGACCGTCGCCTTCGCTGTTATGGGCTGATAGTGGCGGTTCGGGTGGAGGTGCGTTATGCCCAAAACCCAGTGTTGGCTCCAATTCAGGTCTTCAGTAACTCCGCCCAGCGACAGATCTCCATCAGCGTCATCTCCGAACTAGCTGCAAGTGCCGATGGTAGCCAAGCCAGATCGAGCCTACGGCATCGGCACCGCCCATCGGTACCAGCACCGATACATGCCAGCAACCGTAGGCCCTACAAGTTGCGCTCCAGCTCCGTTAATCTCAGTAGCGTAACTATGGAGGGCGGGGGGGGGGGGGGGGGGGGGGGGAGGATGTCTGATGCCCCGCCCCCCCCCCCCCCCCCCCATTTGAAACCTTGAAATGAACAAAAAAATATACCCCGCCGTGTCGAAACTGATGAGCGCATGGACTTGTGTTCATATGGATTATTACGTATGTTATACGCGTACGCCAATGTATTTACACTTTTTTCATCAAAAGTGTTGGGCAAACGCCGCAAAAATTACTTTGGGGGAATTCTTTGGGTCGGTGATGCCTTATGGGAGCACACCTTTAAATAGGCCTAAACCCATCCGCCGAGCTCATGAATAAAAGTTATACCCTCAAAATATAGATTATGTAACACGGCTTGTTGCCATGAATCGACCAATCTAGAATTCAAGTTTGCTTGAAAATAATATTATTTACGTAAATTATTAGAGAGTTCTGAGAGCCAGGAATTGAAAAGATATGGCAATGAGCTCTGGCCCGGACTTGGGGCTTCCTATTCTGAGCATTTTGGATGCAATTGGGCTCGAAGGTGGCGCTATTTGACATGTTGTAGAGGGATCGTTTTTCAGATGCATAGCACGCTTCTTTTTCGCTTTGGGGAAAATAGGGGTCGCGTCTTCTTTGGGTGCGAATTTCTCGAAAAATCAATGGTAAACCCACCGAAACTTTAAAAGAAAATGAAAGATGACATGTTGATCATCATTTTTCTGTGCAGCTCAAAAACCTGTGAGAGTTCTGAGTATTTTAAAAAGAACTTTGAAGTATGGACATTTACAACACGTTATGTTTCTATTGGAATTTAATCCAGGGTGCCCCCGGTGTGCGAGCAAGAGGGCGCTTTAAAAAACAACAACTTTTGAGGCTTCGAACAGCACATGTGAGCTTGGTACGGTGCACGGTGCCGTCAAAATCCTTGGTGCCGCGCCACGTCATCGGTTAGCGCAGCCCCCGGGCCGGCCGTGCGTGAAGTGTGACTCACATGTGAGCGTTGAAACAGGTAGGTGATGCTGCTTGTTGTTAAATTTGTCAGGCCCTCCATGGGTTAAGTCGTAGAGTTTTCCTCAATTTTTATTATACACCATTGAGCAATGAAGAATAACTTAAGGGCGGAAACGCTCCCCCGTGTGCCAACCAACAAACTGCTGTTTTTGTGGCGCTGAATACTGTATCGTGCGTAGCCCCGTAAATGTGGCCAATTTACTGGACTACCTCCGTAAATAAAGGCCACACTTTCACCATGTACAAAAACATGTCGAACTTTGTCAAATTTTGATTTTCACATTTAGGCTTAGTTTGTAGTTTATTTTTGCTTTACTCATACTCATCCTCTAATCAGAAAGTGCTGCCTTTTTCAGATGTCTAAATTTTCGTGAAATTTCATGTTGAAATTTTGATACGCAATTTGCAAACGTGTGCAAACAAATCTGGAAATTTCACGAAAAACAGACATCTGAAAAATGCAGCACTTTCTGATTAGCCTAAAAAGAGGGCGAGTATGCTTCTAAAGCAAAAAAAACAACTACAAACTAAGCCTATGTGAAAATCAAAATTTGACAAAGTTCGACACGTTTTTGTACATGGTGGTGGTGTGGCCTTTATTTACGGAGGTAGTCCAGTAAATTGGCCGCATTTATGGGGCTATATGATCGTGCGGTGCCCCAAATTCGCGCTACCCAATATTCGCGCAACCAACTTTCTCGGCTCGTATCTTTTTTCACACAACACGGACCGACGTCAAATCACCGTCGATGATCCATCGTCACATCGCCTTTCTTCTCAATGCAGTTATTATATGTGGAAATCAAAAGCTTTTCCGAGCGGTAATTTGAAAGAAATAAAAGAGAGAGTAAATTATTGCTGTATTGACTGGATACAAAACGTAACATTATTGAATGGCCCAGAAAACTAACAAAAACTTCGCTACGAATTTCCATTTATCAGTGTCTCCGTCCAACCCCGAAACGTTCGACTTTCATTAGACAACAGAGGACGTAATCAGAATTAAGGAGCACGAAAAACGATGTGCGCCTTATATCGCATTATTATTTTATGATTTGTTTCCCGAGATGCAAATTTTGGTACTGATTTGTTTGCTGGAAATATTCTCTAAAATATATTTCTGTCGCCGTGTCGGAATTAGACCTAATCGTAATGTTTAAAGTACACAAAAAGTAGGCCAATAGCTATTTTTTGTTTTTATTGAAATGATGTGTATCATGCATGAAACCATGTGTCGAGGCGGCGCGATCAGCCACGGTATTGGTCGACCGCATGCAGGCGCGCGCGCCTGTATAATTGATTGATTGATTGATCGCAGGTGTATTAGAATGATCGCAGGTGTATTAGAAATGCCGGAGAACATTGTTACAGAAGGGTGGTTTTAGTTTTTGATGGAAGGTCATTTAAAAATATATTTGTCCATGTACTTAAAAATATAGCCACTGCATACTAAAGTTATATTGCATATGTTTCTATTTTTGGAGAATATGTAGGCCTATACATTTGTAAAATGTTATGTAATTGGCACATGGTTGATTTTCAGAAAAACTAAAATTCGCGGAGCTCTTTCCATGCATAGGATTTAATTTAGCTTCTTAGATTTTCGACAAAAATATATTATAAGATTTGTGGATTTAATTTATTCACCTCAATTTTCAATATGATATGATTTTAAATATTTTGCATGCAGTTGTTTTTACCAAAATTGAAAGAAATTCATTTATTTCATATTTAAACAAGCGTGTATTTAGTAACAATGTCAGATGGCAAACAAAAGTTAGTTTATCAAACTAGACTCGGAGACCAAAGTTGTGCACATAAACTTATCCTTTTATTCAACAAACATCGATCCACATTGTTTTCAGAAGTAGGACACAATGGAGACTTCGTAGAATGACGTTTACCGTTCGTGCGCAAATTATTGGCACGAAACTTTCGTGGCTGCCAATTTGACTCATCTGCAGACGACGACGTTCTTTGTGCTTCTGTGACGTTCGATATTGTTCCAATTATTTTTCCATGTAGTTTATTAGCCATTCTTACAATATTAAAGTCTATAACTATGTAGGGTTTAGTTTATTATTTTGTATGGAAAAAAACCAAGATGGTTGCAACTTGATAATGGTCTATTACAGTCACCCCTTGGAAATGATTCCCATATCTGGCCATCACTTGTCACCCTGTGCACAAACCGTATGAGACTAGTCTGAAAATTTCCAAGTGTTTACTCAGTAAATACCATGAATACTTCAATATTTTCCATGCTAAATTTGACTTTTTAGGACATATTAGGGAAAAAAATTTGCAACCTCATGCCACTTTTTGCTTCTCAATGAAGGTCATTCATTGCAAAAATGATGATACATGTAATTATAACTTTTATAAGACACGAATCAGGGACTGAGAAACATTTCCAAGTTTATTAGGAAATAGGCCCTACTTAGAATAATTTCTTGACTCTCACTTTCTGATGCCTTTGATGGCTGATAGGTCCCTGAAATGAAAAATTACCGGTAGTGATTTCCAGATATGGGAATCTTTCCACACTGTGTACATGTGGACTCAAAACCCATGAGTGCCCAACTGGGAACACTTCCACGTTTCCACCACTTAATGACCTCATGCATTGTTGCCAAACGTCATGGTTGACAAGCTTCAAATCCATCCATTCAGTGGCGTAAATCTGTGCCGGCAAGTGGGGGGTAGGCCTACTGGGGATGACCAAAATCCAAAAATTGCCCGACCATGGAAATTCGAAGGGGGGGGGGGGGAGGGACACCACATTACATTAGGGGGCGCTCTTCAGGTGTAGATACTCCCGCTTACATTAAAGCGGCGCATTTTAAAAGGTTTTGTACTCTGTTTCTCCACTTTTCAGTGCTATGAATACATTTTTGTTGTTAATGTTTGAAAAACACCTTGAACATGTTGAAATCCGTTTTGTTTTCCTCACCTCAAAAAAGTGGGCAATGATTCAATAGCCCATCCCCCTCCCACAACCCCAACCCCCCCCCTCACCCCTGGTCAAAAAGGGGGGGGGTGTATATTTCCCCCCCCCCCCCTTATTTAATTGTTTTAAGAGCTACATTTTGTATATGCAGAAAAAGAACAAGCATGACCAGTTTTCTCATGTTTGGGAGGATTTGTTTAATGCCTAGTGAAGCCCTTTGTTACAACTGATAATGTAGTAACCAATGGATAACATCACCAACCGATAATGTATCACAGATTGACTTATGTTGTATCACTAACCGATAATATAGCAAAAATTTACTGATAGTGAAGTAAAATTTGTATCCGATAATGTATCACTTGTCATGATAATGTAGTTACCGAAAAAATGTATCTGATAATGTATCACCACAAAACGGATACTTTGTATCAACCGATAATGTTTCAAAATCAACTGATAATGTATCAGTATGGGAAAAGGTAAATCAAAATGTTTGTTTATGTCTTATTGTTTGCATGGGCTAAATCATTGTTGGGCTCATAAAATTCAAACAAATATCAAATGGAAAACAACAATACATTGTTTACTGTCTTTTTATCAGGGGTGGATCCAGGAAGATTTTTAGGGGTTTTTTTTGTATTAATCAGCAAATCAATGCTGAAATAAAGGTAGGATTTTTTTCGAGGCAGTTGGCCTCTCCGTAACCCCACCCCTCACCCCCCAGCTCCGACTCATTTTTACCCCATAGAAATATACATAAAAAGTAATGTGAGACCACCCCCCTGCATGCTCTGACACCCCAAAATAATTATACTGGTAATAATGTCCGCCTGTGCAAAATTTGGACAGAGCCAGCTGGGTATGGTTAAGGGGGTATTTGTACTGTATTATGTAATATAGTGTTCATGAAGGTCAGATTTGAACAGCGCCCCCATTGAAACTGTGGTACAAGCGCCCGCCCCCCCCCCCCCATTGATTTTGCGGAGCGGCCAAATGTCCGTGGAAAAAAAAAAACCTGTCTATATTTCAGCATTGATTTGCTGATGACCCCCCCCCCCCCCCTTTGCAAATATTCCTGCCAAAATTCTGAGGCAAGAGGGATCATACCTTGGATCATACATTGGATCATACATTGGTCTACAGGAATCAGCTTGTATTAAGTTCCCACAGCATGGGAAAAGGTGTCACAAAGTGTCAAAATTTCGTTAATGATTGTTTGATTAAGAAAAAGAGTAAACACGACTGTAAAATACAAAGAGTAAAGCATGAGCTGTTAGAAAGTACAAAAGGTTTCCGAACTCTGTTACAGCAAAGTGGCCAAACAATTTGTAAAATAGGATACACTTCAACAGCGATTTTTTTCGAAATTAACTTTATTCTAGATTTAGGAGGTTATTGGCACTTCGTGATCAGCAATGAAAAAGGGTTGCTACGTACATGTAGGCAAACTGTGGAATCACATTTTGAAATGCTTACAAATCATACTTCCCCAAATTAATATTCAATGTGATCAGTTGTTTTGCTCATTGCTGAAAACCAACACACGTACAGGTCCCGCTCAATTTGGGTTTTGGGGAAACAATGAGATATGGTATTTGATGGCGGGTAAATTATATGCAAGTCATGTGCCAAGTCATAATTTCTAACGTTCTGTGGTATTTGCTAATTTTAAAATAACTATGTCCTATTCATAACCATACATGCACGGTTGTCGTGGGAGTGTGAGGGGGGCATTGCAAAGGAGAGGTATTCCTCCGAATGTGGGAAAATTTTTTAAAATGTGAAAAGAGCCCTCTCCTCCCCCCCCCCCCCAAAAAAAAGAAAGTTATGCATTCAATCTAACTTAAGTCAGTGGATGGACAAATAAGAAAACAACTAGAGGTTCGCGTTTGTTGTTACAAACGCAGAGTGGTCGGGTAGACAACTATTTTATGAAACACTGTCCAGTTAAGTTATGAATATTTTTTTATGTAAGAAACTGTCTGATAAAATTAATCATTTTGTTTCAAAATGTTTCTTTTAGGTAGTGATTAATGTCAGTATGT